CCCCACAACAAACACTCTGTGAGGTGAGTGGGGCTGAGAGACTTCAGAGAAGTGTGACTGGCCCAAGGTCACCCAGCAGCTGCATGTGGAGGAGCAGAGACGCGAACCCGGTTCCCCAGATTACAAGACTACTGCTCTTAACCACTACACCACACTGGTTCCCTAAAGGAATAGCCTGGCCTAGTGGCAAGAGAGCGTGGCACCACATTCCACACACACAAAGCCTTTGTGCCCCGGTCAACTGTGAGCAGGAAGAAATTCAACAGGTGAAGTGTTTGGCTGCCACTGCCTTGCTGAACACCATTTCTTACGATATTTCTGCAGGGCAGCTGTTCTGGCCATCCTGTCTGCGCCAAAAAGCAAATTACCTGTTGGATTTCTGCCTGCTGCTGAGCAGATCAAGTTGCAGAGGCCCGGCAAAGGGGGAAAGGTGGTACCCTGCTCTCTAACCCTCGAGGTACAGGCGGCATCTTTGGGAAACCTCGTGCCACGGAGCCGGGGGCTGATCTGGGTCATTCTCACCCCAAGTTCTCCAGAATCTGGTTGTGCATGCAAAGTAAGGAAGGGTATCAGATCCTTCCTGGAAAAACCTACATTTGTGGGGGGGGGCGTTATGAGTGAAGGGGGGGTGGCACTCTGCACATGTCCATTGAGGCCTTACCTCGGGTATTGATGCACACATTCTAGGGCGGAGATTTGTGAGATCCGAGGGGTGAGACTTGAGGCTGCTTAAACCAGAAAAAAATTAGAGATCACTGCTCCCCCAGCTTCATTCCCTGTGATCCACCCATCCCTGATATCCCTGTTCTTGGGATTCCCACTCTGTTTACTTTGCCATGGTTACCCATCATATTATCGCAGGCATTTTCCTGCTGGTCAAAACCTCAGGGATGCAAATCTCCTGCAATAGCCATGGAAAGCCGGCTGGGATTTATCTCCGAAACAAAGCGAGACAGGTGTCCCTGGGAGACAGGAGGGAAACCTCTGGCAAGCAGGTGTACCTGGGGGAAAGGTCTCCCCCTCACCTGATGCACCCTTTCTGCAGAAATGCCTTGGTGACACTCTAAAAAATGGGTCGTGTGGTTGTTAACGTAAATATTTTCCTCCAGCTTCAACTAGGGCATAATTTGAATGAGGGCTGGACAGAGAGGAATTATGGGGTGGTGAGGAGGAGGCAGAGAGACAGGGGACTGGGAAGGGGGGGCAGTATGTATTATTGTGAGTTTGGGCAGGGCAGGGGTACGCTGTGTGCCTGAACCTTCTGCTAATTCCAGGATCCAGCACAGGTTCAATTCCCGGAATAGCCAGGCTACCTTCCAGGTGAGGAAATGGGCTAAGTACAGATCCTCAAGGGAACAAAGGAAATGGCTCTGTGCATTAACAGAGCAAGAAGAAACATCGTTGTCATTGGCAGACAACCCGCCCTCCCCCTGAAAGTCAGCTCCGCCTTTTAGCAGCCCTCTCCGTTTCCTGGGGCTTAACCCCCCCCCCCAGTTCCCTCTTACTGTGTTTCTCCCAGCAGATCTGCTTCCCTTGTAAGATGCTTTCTCCCCTGGCGTGGCAGGGATATTGTGCTGCGTCCCTGCATGGCGTTCCTGGTCCTCCAGAATAGCTGAACCTTCTCCTGCATCCCTCCTGTGTGCCCCCACTTGCTGGGCCCCAGAAGTGTCAGGGGGGGCATTTCCAACATTGCACGCCATCCCTGCAGGGCTGGATGTCTGCACGCTCTCTGTCCTTCTGCCGCTGCCAGGCCATTCACGATTCCTGCCCACTTCCATGGGCCCCTTGCTGGTCTTTTGTGGCTGCCACTCCATGTCTTAGGGACCCTCCATCAACAGGCTGCTTTCCATCGATGCCTCCATGTTCTCCGACCAGTGAAAGCACCAAACAAAAGCCCAGTGGCAGCAAAGCAAACCAGGGGCATCATCCATGGCCTTGATTTTCCTCCTGTCTGGCTGTTTTCCTAATCAGAGCAAAGGGACGAAAGCCTGGATTCCTCACTTCCCTCTGGCACTTAAAATTTACTAATATTTCTATACGTTTCCAACATGACAGCATTTTAATATGCAATGAGCGATATAGCCCAGTCCTGACTGAGGAAGGTTCCTCTCTGTTTTGCAGCCTCTCGTGGCTTTGAGCAAAGGAGAAAGGCAGCAGAGGAAAAGCCTCACTGAGGGCAGAGGAAAAAAGGAGTCGCCGCTGAGCCCTGGAGATCAGAAATGGGAGGTCCTGGGGTTCAGGTGTGGTGTACAAAGAAGGTACCCCCGATTGTAGCCGCTTCGGGGTGATGTGCAGCGACGGTGTCTCACGGGGGTCAACCCTCCCTGCCGCAGCTCCTCATTTGACTGAGTGACTCAGGGACAGCCGCCTTATCTTTCAGGGAAAGCCCAGCAGCTTTATGAGAAGCACCTTTGGCGGAGGGAATCCTAGAAAAACAAAATAGCTTTCCGAATTTTCATAACCACCAGGAGAGCCCAGGCCAAAGATCAACATGGCTGCCCACGCATCAAACTGCTTGCCTCAGGGGACATCCCTCCGCCAGGACCGCACCTGGACCACACGGCCTGGGCTCTCTGCCAGAACCAGGAGGGGGGGTGGACTCTGGACCGAGCAGGTGGACGGGGGGCAGCTCAGGTCCTGAGCTCAGCATCTCGATCTTTCTGGAGGCTGTGGGGTCTGGCTGGTGTGGTGCCACCCCTGGGAACTGAGATGCTGATGGCCTGCCTGCTCCATCATCCTGTTTCACACTGGCCCATCAGATGTCCCAGAGCGAAGCAGGAAAACAGCACCTGAGCACAACGGACGGACGCTGGGCAATCAGTCCTGATCCAAGAGGGCTCCTCTGGTCTTCTCAGAGAAAGTGCAAGGTGCGTTTGTTCTAGAGATGATGCTCCAAGCGAGAATTTCTCCATCCTTATCCAGTTCATGGCACAAACTCCTGGGTGCTTGTGGGTCAAATCTCTGGACCAGAAGATTTAATCTGTAAGAAGTCAAAGCAAGTTATGAATAGGTGGGAAAGTCCTGCTATTTAAAAGCTGATCCCATCTTGGAAGGAAGGAAGGAAGGAAGGAAGGAAGGCAGGCAGGCAAATTCAATTTTCTCAGGTGCTAATATCTCACTGGTCCTGAGTGCCTTGATCGTGGGGGGCACCTTCTGTTACCCATCCAGCATAAGGTAAACAAAAGAGACATTGATTATATGTTCAGGAAATAGGCGCTCAGTTCTTTTTTTATTATTCCAAAATTTGCATGGAATAAATGAATGGAATCTTGTAGGCGATAAAATAGGGATCCCGAGGCTGGGAGTGACAGCAGTTCCCTGAGCCGCCTACAGACACGAGGTCCTGCTCCCGGAGATCTGACATGGAGAAGACTCAGCTGGTAAGTGCACCAATCCTGCTCCTTACACGGAGGGAAGGGGGAAGGCTGAAGCAGGGTCCATAGCAAGGCCCTTTGGGTTCTGCTGCTGTTCCAAGGGATGTTCGGGGGGGGGGGCTATGAATTGTGCTGTTGACTGTAGCTGTAAATATAACCGGAGGGCAACCCCTTGATTTATCATCTTGCCCACCTTTCCCAAGTTTCCTTTCTGTGATGACTCCCAGTCTAGCATTTCTCAAACTTGGATCTCCACTGTTGTTGGACTACAACTCCCATCATCCCTAGGAAGCAGGACCAGTGGTCAGGGATGATGGGTGTTGTAGTCTAGCCGCACAAACTGGGTCTCCCCCACCCGATCTAAATGGAATCTGATTATTGATCCTTCGTTGTGCTCTATATTATTCATTCACTCCTCATCTGTTTAATTTCTGTCCATCTGGAAACTTAGTAGGCGTGAGGTGGGACTAGGGACACGGCAGCCATATTGATCCCTGTATTTTGGAGACGGGAATGAATTTCCACCCTCAGTTCACTCGGTCTAGCGACTGTGTGGGGCTGCCCCACTTTGCTCCCTGGCTCATTGAGGTGAGCAAGAAAAAGAGGGGGAGAGCAAAGGCCGCTTTGTCCGAAGGGCAAGCATTGTCCTGTCTTTGGCACATGAGATTTCCAACTGGGGGACGAATGGCTGGGCTGTGAGTCTGAATCCCCCCCCCCCACTAAGGGGTGAGCACCCGAAATGTAAAAAAAGTAGCATGTCAGGGAAATGGGACTAAGCCAGCCTTGTTCCCGGTATGCTAGATTTTGATGTGCAAGGAGGTTGCGGCTGTTGTCTTCTTCCTTCCATCCCTCTCATGGGGAAAATTCCAAGTTTCCTCATCCATTTACTTAGCAAGATTGACAAGCAGCTTCGTCAAAGAGCTCCAAGTGGTGTGGGGGGGGGGAATGCACATAAAACACAGCTTAAATTTTAAGTGTGTATCTATATCTGTACAGATATATTGCATTGCTACATATAAAATATATCATCTACTATATAATATACTTATCATTAGAGCATATATGGTAAGTGTTTAAAATTATTTTATTTGACAAAAATGGTTGAAATGACACAGTCCAGGAAAGACTGTACCACTTGATTCTGCCAATTTTGCAGGCAGGTTTTTGGAGAGATCCCGGCCCACGTTATTCTGGGAATAGAATACAGTGGTACCTCAGGTTACATACGCTTCAGGTTTCAGACTCCGCTAACCCAGAAATAGTACCTTGGGTTAAGAACTTTGCTTCAGGATGGGAACAGAAATCTTGCTCCAGCAGCAGCAGGAGGCCCCATTAGCTAAAGTGGTGCTTCAGGTTAAGAACAGTTTCAGGTTAAGAACGGACCTATGGAACGAATTAAGTTCTTAACCCGAGGTACCACTGCACTCCAACTTAGGAAGGCTGCGAGGAAAAGGGAGTGGGAAATGAGCTACTAGATTTCTCTGTAAGGCAAAATAATATTTGGAGCAGTCCTCTTTGGGCTGTTCCACCATGACCAGTTGTGACCGCTGCCCCCTCTTGCCCTTCCTTCCTTCCTTCCTTCCTTCCTTCCTTCCTTCCTTCCTTCCTTCCTTCTCCTAGGCTACGATGTGCTTCCTGCTCTCGACGTTTGTGGCCAGCCAGGCCTTCCAATGCATGTCCTCCTCAAACTGTTGTGAAGAGACGACACTCAATGAAGTCGTGAAGAAGCTCACCGCCCATTCCTCCCAGTCCACCCAGTCCACCCAGTCTGCCCGTTCCTCCCGGTCCGCGTCTTCCTCTGACGACTGCCGCTCGATTCCTGGTGTAAAGAACATGGCCTCCAGTTCTCCTTGGCGATATGTGTAAGAGAGAAGAATCGTACCTTTTATTCCTTTGCCCCCTCATCCGTCCCATTTTCATAGAATTGTAGAGTTGGAAGGGACCCCCAGAGTCCTCTAGTCCACCCCCTCCCTGCAATGCAGGAATCTCCAAGGGTGGTCTCCCATCCAATTTGAAACCATACTGGACCCTGCTTAGCTTTATGAATGTGCTTGCACTTTTATTGCTGCACCACCGACTGGAAATAAAGAGACAACCCTTTGGCCCTGCCAGGCACCACCAACAATGCCCTCTAGATTTCCCAGAGAGCTCAGCTGGTTAGAGCAGGGGGCTGAGGGGGCCGAGGCTGCAGCTTCGATCTCTGAATAGGACAACTGCATATTCCTGCCTTGCAGGGACTGGTTGCTCCTCAGGGTCCCTTCCAGTCAGACCTGTGTCAGGGGTGACTGGAGTTCCTTTCCAAGATATCTGGAGGGCACCGTGTTGGGGAAGGATAATCTAACCCAGCATTAGTCCCCCAAAGCTCCTCATCCCACACATTTTATTTTATTTTCCCTTTCACTCCACAACCAGCATCCCAGTGCCTTCCCCCATCAGACCACCATCCAGTCATAATGGCTCAAAGACAGACCTGTCCTTTCTCTTCCTCCCCCAGGGAAGACATCCAGGAGTCCCGCTACCCTCGACTCCTCTGGAAAGCTCAGTGTATCTGCCAAAATTCCTGCGTCTCCTTGAGGCACCCTGTGGAAAATGCCACCCAAAAGAGCTTCGTCCATAAGGAGGAAAACGGGGTGTCTGTCCAGATCTTTGCCGACACAACGGTCTACTATCGGAGGCCTTGTGCGAATGTCAACAAGTCCTTCTACCTTGAGCGGCAGAAATATCCTTTGCCTGTGGCCTGCACCTGTGTGGCTATACCGTGAGGCTTCGAAGCGGGAAGGGGATCCCCAGAGCAAAACTGTGGAATGGATTCAAAGGGAGGGAGCCTCTGAACACGTGCAGAGTTCATTTCCCTCACAGGCTGCCACCCGCATGTCCACCCACAGGACCTGGGTACACCAGAACCTCGCTGTCTCTTTGCTCAATTCTAACTTCAGAATTAATTGCAGTGAAAAGGAAAAGCTCCCTCAACTGACCGGTTGAAATCGGATTCAAATCTTTGGCTTCCCCCAAAGGTCGCTGAGGACCAGCTGGAAGAGCATCAATAAGGAACAGGGATCGGGGATGGCGTTTCTGGCGCTGTTGCAGAATCCCAGCCCCCTCTGGGCCCTTTGGGGGGCTGTCAGGATAGTGTATCCTAGAGATGGTTGGGCTTTGTAGTGTAGACCATGCAGGGAGAAAGCGAAAGGGCTTGTTCTAACACACTCAAATATATCAATTGGGGAATATTGGATTCTATTACCAATAAACACAGATTAAGTAAATCCCTTTCTCTCTCTTACTGCAGTTTCCCCACTCTGCCAAAAGTTGGGAGTCAACTTTTTCTCCTTCAAACGCTCCTCTGCCTTCTAACGTGTGCTTAGCTGTGAATTTTCTGTTAGAAGTAGAGGAGCATTCGCAAGGGGGAAAAGTTGGCCACCCACTAAATATCGCTACATCTGGCCGGATACTTCTAAAGACATAGGAGCTGAGTTCACAGAAAAAGCTGGCAACTCTAAGTGACATTAGAGAGTAAAGTTAGCGAGAGGCAAAGGAAATGGCAAGGGGGGAAATGTTCAGGCATGAATTGTTGCAGGAGCAACTTGTTACAGAAGAATATCCCCTGATAAGCCTTGCCCTCCCCGATCCTGGCTTGTGTGTGTGACCCCCTGCTCATCCCCATAGCTAGCAATGCCCACATTTATAGGTCAGGATCATTTCTCAACTATTTGAATGCTTGCACTAAAATCCGCTGTCTCTTGTCTGCTGTCTCAAAGAAACTTAACCATCTTGCCTTATTTTTTTAAAAAAAATTCAATAAAACATTCTAAAGAAAGCAGAATGTGTCTTGCCTTCTTCACCCAGAGGAAACAGGACTCCCCCTCCCTTTGCGGGCGGTTGGGCTCAATGAACGACTGGGTCCCTTCCAACTCAGCCCTTCTACGATTCTGTGATTCCCTGCAGCTGATACGTCGATGGCCTTTCCGTGAGAGTCCCAGACTTATCCTGAGGAATATATTTTCCTCTCCTTCCGCTTTCCTCTCTCGCCAAAGTGTGCTGACTGCCCCCGCCTTAGATTTTTTGCATGATTCCCGAATGACGCTGTTACACTATTTTTCCTTTGGGAATATTGTTGTTGTTGTTGTTTAGTCGTTTAGTTGTGTCCGACTCTTCGTGACCCCATGGACCAGAGCACGCCAGGCACTCCTGTCTTCCACTACCTCCCGCAGTTTGGTCAAACTCATGCTGGTAACCTCGAAAACACTATCCAACCATCTCTGTCGCCCCCTTCTCCTTGTGCCCTCCATCTTTCCTAGCATCAGTGTCTTCTCCAGGGAGTCTTCTTTTCTCATGAGGTGGCCAAAGTACTGGAGCCTCAGCTTCAGGATCTGTCCTTCCAGTGAGCACTCAGGGCTGATTTCCTTCAGAATGGAGAGGTTTGATCTTCTTGCAGTCCATGGGACTCTCAAGAGTCTTCTCCAGCACCATAATTCAAAAGCATCAATTCTTCGGCGATCAGCCTTCTTTATGGTCCAGCTCTCACTTCCATACATCACTACTGGGAAAACCATGGAGCCACACTGCTACCTGCAACGATGATGTCATGGTGCCTGCCGCATGATGTCATCATACTTGCCACCACCCAAGAGCACAGAGAACCAGCTTGTGCCGTGAATTTGCCAGGTTTCAATGTCACTCAGCTTTGATTAGGGCAAGATTCTGGTGCAGGGAGCAGCTGTCAAACAGACAGAGATGTCACAGGTGATGCAAGACAGTACACAGGAAAGAGAACACATCACCTGTTGCATTTCCTCCTGTTGCACACAAGATCCAGGCTCAGAAGTCCAGCCAGGGCGGCGGGAGATGGTATCCCGCTCTGTAACCACTGGGCAATGCTACCTCCCAAGGTCTGTGTGGCTTATCTGGTGAGTTGGATATTACAGACACCAAACTCCCCTGTATTAGTGCCAACATTTTCCAGGCAAGAAAAGGTGTGAGAACCTTCCTGGGACTTCCTCCCTTTGTGTGTGAGTTGCAGCTACACAATGATGGGGTGGTGGCACTCTGCACATGCTCAAAGAGGCCTTGCCTGTGTTGGTTACTGTACATATTCTCAGATGGAATTTTGACTTCTGGGATTGAGATTTTGGAAGGTGGAATCGGAGGCTGCTTGGGCCCAGGGAAAAGGAGAGCTCACTATCCCCCAGTGCCCCATAATTCACATCCATAGCATTCCCGTTCTTGGGATTCCCACTCTGTTTACTTTGCCATGGTTACCCAGCGTATTATCGCAGGTATTTTCCTGCCCGTCTAAACCGCGGAGTGAGATGCAAATCTCCTGCAGTAGCCATGGAAAGCCGGCTGGGATTTCCTTCCGAAACAAAGTGACACGGGTGTCCCTGGGAGAAGGAGAACAACCTCTGGCAAGTGGGGGGGGGGTGAAGGGGGCTCTGCCCCACCTGCCCCACCCAGGAAGGCCTCCATGACACATCAGAGTGAAGGGAATCCTGGAGAAAGAAAACAGCGACCATAAGGACAAAAGAAGACTGTCTCTCTACATGTCTTTTCTGCTATTTGTATTTTTATAAATGTCTGTCACTCTGACCACATTGCCTGCCTGTCTGCCAGAATCAGATCCAGGGGGTGGGTTTGGGACAGAGCAGGAGAGTTCGGGGAAGCCTGGAAGATCAGGAATGGGAGTTCTCTGCCAGAACCAGGTGGAGTGTGGACTCTGGACCGAGCAGGTGGACGGAGGGGGGCAGCTGGGCTCCTGAGCTCACCATCTAGATATTTCTGGATTCTGTGGGATCTCACTGCTGTGGTTGGGGGGGGATGCCTGCCCATGATTTGTGACTTGTATCAATATATTGAATATATTTTTGAGCTCTTGGGTGTAAAATGCAGTCAAAACAAAATTTAAAAATTCCTTCCAGTAGCACCTTAAAAGGTAAAGGTAAAGGGACCCCTGACCATTAGGTCCAGTTGTGGACAACTCTGGGGTTGCAGTGCTCATCTCGCTTTATTGGCCAAGGGAGCCAGCATACAGCTTCCGGGTCCTGTGGCCAGCATGACTAAGCCGCTTCTGGCGAACCAGAGCAGCGCACGGAAACGCCGTTTACCTTCCCGCCGGAGCGGTATCTATTTATCTACTTGCACTTTGAGGTGCTTTCGAACTGCTAGGTTGGCAGGAGCAGGGACCGAGCAACAGGAGCTCACCCTGTCGCGGGGATTTGAACCACCGACCTTCTGATCAGCAAGTCCTAGGCTCTGTGGTTTAACCCACAGCGCCACCTGCGTCCCAAGTAGTACCTTAGAGACCAACTAAGTTTGATATTTGTATGAGCTTTCGTATGCATGCACACTGAAACAGAAGTCACCAGACCCTTATATATAGTTGGAAGTTGGGGAGGGGTATTACTCAGAAGGGTGGTGGGAATGGGTGATTGGCTGATAGGTGTAGTAAACCTGTTGACGACTGTTAAGGACTGCAATTGGTCTTACAGGAAAAAGGAAAGGGTGAAATGGCTAAAAATAGCTTATCATGTATAATGAGATAAGAATCCAATTTCTCTATTCTAATCACCCATTCCTACCACCCTTCTGAGTAATACCTCTCCCCACCCTCTTACTACAAATAAGGGTCTGGTGACTTCTGTTTCAGTGTATCTGAAGAAGTGTTCATGCACACGAAAGCTCATACCAATAACAAACTTAGTTGGGCTCTAAGGTGCTATTGGAAGGAATTTTTAAATTTTCTTTTGACTACGGCAGACCAACACGGCTACCTACCTGTAACTAAAAATGCAGTTTATCAACAAACAAACAAACAACACTTATAATCATCCTTGGTATCTTTGAGGCAACCCACTGCCATTATTATTCCATTATTATTTATTAAATTTATATCCTGCTCTTCCTTTCAAAGGAGTCGAGAGCAGTTGACACACAAAGCGATTACAACATCTAAAAGTGATTCCAAGACAGATGCAGACTTGGGAAAGGTTGGTAATAAAAAGGATGGTTGGGAGCTCAAATCTAAACCAGATAAGCATAGAGGCCACGTTGAGCAAGAGCACGGGTCTCAGGATAGCCAAAAATGCCCGGCTGCCCTTGAGAGTGAGTGATCATTGTGTGTTTATCTCACAGGCATTGTAGCTCTGTAGAGAAATGTCCCCAGACCGGATCTCATGCAAATCTAGTCTCTTTTGAACTCACTGTTTACAATTCTGGCCCCCACCCCCTCCCGTCGGTGTGCCTGCGCTCACATTGTGGGCTTCAGTCTGTGAAACAGGGCCGGCCCTGCCGTTTGGCAAGAGAGTCGGGTGGGGAACGGGCCGTAGCTCAGGGGCGCGGCATCTGCTCTGCGGGCAGAAGGTCCCAGGTTCAGTCCCTGGGATCTCAAGGCAGGGGCCTGGATCCTTGGAAAGCGTAGGCAATACTGAGCTAAATGGATGAATGGTTGACTCACAAGAAGGCTACTGTGTATGGAGTGAATGGGCTGCCTCAGGTGGCAGATTCTGAGGAGCGCTGGATAGTGGTGTGGGCCACATGGCCTGGCCTGGCCTGGCCTGCCTTCCCTAGGCTAGCCTCCTGCTGACCACAGATATTTGTGCAGTGGTACCTCGGGTTACAGACGCTTCAGGTTACAGACTCCACTAACCCAGAAATAGTGCTTCAGGTTAAGAACTTTGCTTCAGGATGAGAACAGAAATTGTGCTCCGGCGGCACGGCAGCAGCAGGAGGCCCCATTAGCTAAAGTGGTGCTTCAGGTTAAGAACAGTTTCAGCTTAAAAACGGACCTCCGGAACTTAACCCGAGGTACCACTGTACTTGGAATGTGGAAATCTCGGCCCATTGCTTCAGGCAGCAGAAAGTCTGCATGTGCAACTGTACATTTATTATTTTGTGTTTTTATCTTGTACTTTTATGTTGCAAACTGGGTGAAGGGCAGTATACGAATTTAAATAGATAAATACATTTAAAGCACACACACACACACACACACAGAGAGAGAGAGAGAGAGAGAGAGAGAGAGAGAGAGAAAATGAATCCTGCAGTTTGTTAGTGGAACTGGGAACTGTGAGGCAGCGGTGGTGTAGTGGTTAGAGTGCTGGACTGAGACTAGGGTTCAAATCCCCACGGCCATGAAGCTCACTAGGTAACTTCCTCTCAGCCTGACCTACCTCACAGGGGTGTTGTGGAGATTAAAACGAGGAGAAGAACCATATAAGTTGCCATGAATTCCTTAGAGGAAAAAGATGGGATATAAATGCTGTTGTTTTCATCTGTCTTTCTTGGGAAATAATGGAAGAATGCGCCTTTGGGGGAAATGTCAAACCGTTGGAGAGTTATGAGAGAGACTTTGTTTTATATTTAAAAAGTATTTATACTTTTCAGGTTTATACATTTATACATTTTTTTCAATTTTCAATCATTTTAACATTTCAAAACTTGACTTCCTTCCCCCTCATTCTGTGCTTCCTTAAAATTTATTTTTAATATCTTCTGCATATCCAAATTAATTTGTTCATTTATTCATCTGCTTTAAATATATACTCTGATCAAACTGAAGGTTAATACAATAGTCCTGCCAATATTTTTATCTGTTTACAATTTACCTGTAAATATTCAATAAACCATTTCCATTCTTTTATAAAAAGTTTGTAATCTTGATTTCTTATTCTTCTGGTAAGTTTTGCCATTTCGGCATATTCATAAGTTTTTGTATCCATTCTCACTGGCGAAGGGGCAGGGGGAGTGCATGCAGCTTTGCCACTTTCCATTCTTCCTTTGCTGGGACTTTTGCTTCTTTCCATTTTTGGGCGAGTAGCATTC